AACGTAAAAGCTAAAGATAGGAGAGCAATTTCTACTGCTAGCAGATTTGATTTTTTTAAGCTATCTAAATAACTCAGATAAAAAGATAGTAAAGTTGGAAATAAATGTATTCATAATTTTGCTTACTGTGTAGCGCTTTATGAAATAAGAGCAAAACAATAAGTCAAATATACTATTGAAGATCTAAATTTGTAAGCTTTTTCACAAAGTCTGTGATCTTTTAAAACCATTAGCATTGCTGGTCACGTTCCAGACATAAAATAAATAGTGTTGATTTAATAAAACAAAAATCCATAAGGCTTGAGTTCAAAAATGTCAAGAGTATTAACATTGATCACTTTTGATTTACAAAATGTTACAAATAACACGGTATTTTGTTTTTGTGTATTTTTAGATAGATCTGCTCACTGTAATCGTGAATAGTTAAAGTATGAAAAATATATATATATGTATATATATACATGTATATGTATGTATAGTTAGCACCAGGACGATCATTCTTTTCTGTAGACATAAGAGCTTGACCACTTGCATGGGCTAGGCAATCCCCCAGCCTTTCTCCCCACTGCAAAATCATAGAATCACAAAGAATCTGCAAGATCATCTACTCCAACTGTCCTCCCATTACCCTTACTACCACAAGCACTAAACCATATCTTGTAGCTCCTCATCCAGATGCCTCTTGAACACTGCCAGGGACAGCGACTCCACCACCTCCCTGGCAAGCTATTCCAGTGCCTGGCAACTCCCTGAGAGAAAAAGTTTTTCCTTATGTCCATGTGGCTTGGTCACCTGGAAAAACCTGATGCTCAGTTTAACTGGCTGGAGCCCTGCTGTCGCAGTACAACCTGGCATGCCCCTGTTTGGAAATGAAAAATGAAAAGACATTGTGAGGTGACAGCCTGGAGTCTGACCACTGCCCTCTTGGCTCACAGTCTGAATGATCCATTGCAGCATCATGCTTTCTGTGACCCTACGTGGACTTATACAGTGAGGGACACAAATTGAAGTGCAGTGGTTGGGATCTGGCAAGGAGCCACATGAAAGAAGCTGAACAAATACCTGGAAGTCACAAGAAATGGAACAGTCACTTCTTATCCCCTTCTACTGTTTTTCTGTGTTTTTATTTACATGCATATTTCTAAGTAAAGCACATCAAGCTTGGCATGAATAATTCATGAAAGTGATCTGGATGCCAACATATTTATATTGTAAGTAATGACTGAAAAATAAGAATCAATTTCTACAGCTGTTACCTGTGTGTTGTGTGTGTCTAATCAAATTCCATAATTAGAGAAAAATTGGAATAATTATGTAAAACACACTGAGAAAAACGAGGGTAAAAATGAAAAGAAATCTCAGTAGCAACAAAACATCTCAGTTAGAATTAAAAGAGTAGCTGTCAAGCCACTCGCAGCTGGTGCAGCACTGTGAATGTTGTGTTAGCTTTAAGACAGCACTGAAACATAGAAACATGAAGAAGTTTTCTAGTACTGCAAGAGTGAAAATCTTTGTCTCTAAGGGAAGAGGCAGTAATTCAAACTAATAACAAAATGGTTACTTAGGAGAGTTTAGAGTACCATTGCCTACAATTAGCAGAAAAGAGGCTAGCTGTCTCTGCCTTTCATAAGAAATGTCAATTCCATCCCTGACTGGTCTGCTGAATCTTTGGAGGAGTTTGAAATTTGCAACTGAGCAGAAAAAAACTGCTATAGTCGGGCTCTGTAGCCACCATGGTAACATCTGAACACCTTTTCCTTATGTGTTTTCATTATATAGAGAGAAGAAATGTGCCTCTGGTGCCTTTGTAGTACATCTGAAAAAGTGTGCCTACAACAAAGCAGAACATTTTTCATACAATACTACATCAATTAGACTACTTATACTTACCAGGAGATGGTCTTCATGAAGTCTTTTTATATTGGTACTATCCTAACACTAAATTAAAAACAGTAGATTTGCAGAATTCTTCGAGGTATATTTTAAAAAATATGTACTCAAAAGTTATCAACTCTGCAATAGCACTGGTCCCATGCAATTATACTTTTTTCATATGGCAAAAAGATTAACTTCATTTTGAGTTTGCAGAATGCAGTCTGCGAAAAATGTTATTATGAATTACTTTGTAAACATCCAACATGAATTTCAGAAACCCGGGCTAGCTGATGAAGAGAGCAGCTATGGTTGGAATAAAAGTTGAGAGAGGAAGTCCCAGATCTGTCCCAGTCCAAGAGACAATTGACTGAGGAATGATTCCTGGGAAATGTGATATGAACACTGAATGAGTGAAGAATTCTCCTATACTAAACGGATTGTCTTTAATATGATATATAGTTGTCTAGGGCAATTGTTTCATATGCAAGTCTTATGCCAGAATTGTTCTCTAATTCATTCTTTGGACTTCCTATGAACATTAGATTTACATAGATGGAGTGGAAAGGTCAAAGATGTGAAATGCTTCTAAGGCTGAGACTTTGTAATATGTCCTAGAGAATTTCCAGATCCATACGTCATTCTTCAACATGATCGATATCCTTACTCTTGGAGTTTTTGGCTACTTAAAATGAGTATTTGAAAATCAGCCATCACAGCTGAACATAGCTACCAGATTTCATCTTCTGGTTCCAGACTGGCTGTGGATTTTCCTGGAACTTGTTTTTATGCTTTCTTATTTTTCTCACTGTATTTGTTAGCTTCCAGATGAATCTTTCCTCTCTAATATTTTCCCAGGTTGCTCTGCAGCCTGTACCATATGTCTAGACTTTAGGGAAGTTGGGGGTTTGAACAATTTAAAAATGCTTCAGATGTATGCGATCTCTTTAGACAGAATTCAGAGAACGTAGATAGTTCTCTGAAGAAATCTGCAGACAATCTGGATGGTTATCAGTTGCAAATTACATCCCAAGAGAGGAAGAAATTCTGCCAAGTTGGAAACATATCTCCTCTACATTCAAAAAGAAACATATCTCCTCTACATTCAAAAAGAAACATACCTTTAATAAGGATATCTCATTTGACATTAATAGGGAATACCCTAGGCATCAAACTACAGGAATGTTTGCATATTACCCCTCTGGCCACAAAGAATATTTGTATAGTGTACAGAAACTAGAATAGCTCTGAAAGGTATAAGTGGGGAGATCCTATGAATATACTGATCCTATATGAATATTCTGGATTGTAAGGTTAGACTGTTATTTTGAAATTTGAAGCTTTTAGTTTCTAAACCTTCTATTTGGGATAAAAATATCCTGAAAGATAGACAGGATTTGATATCGCATGACAATGTTCTAACCAGTGGATAACCATTAGTTCCCCTTGGTTTAGCTTTCTACACCCAGATACCCTTTACAATAAGACATGAAAATTTTAAAATTCAAAACATTTTATTTTTAAAATTTTAAACTTCGTTGTTGTTGTAAAAGCAGAAATATTCACAACAACAAAGCATTTGGGCTACCTTAGGTAATGGAAGTTATTTTATGTGATCTGATAGTATAAGAAAAAGAATCAATTTTTGCTACATTTCCAACTCTGTGGCTCCAATGGCTAGCACTGCTGGTAATAAATCTGTTTTCATAACTTTCATAAATTGGTGTTTTAATATTCTATCTTGATAACTATTTATCCTGTTTACAGGATATATAGTTATCACCCTGCTCTGTACTACACAAGCCACAGGCCTGACTACTTAATTAATTAATTATTCCTATCTGACTCTTTGCATAACTTAATTAATTTTCTGCTAGCTTAATTAATCCATTCTTCAGTGGCTTGTCTGCTGATCAGATTAATTGCTGAGCTAATTTTGAGTCACTTTACCTACTGGTCTGATTTTCCTCTATTAAAAGTATACTTAATTCATTTCTTAACCATGTAATTTGTGTAATTCATTTCTAAATGATTTCCCTGCTTCTCTGAGTTTTAACCCACCAAGCTGAACTTTAAACTAACTGGAATGTATAACAAATTAAAAAGCATCTATATATAGCTCTATGCACCCTATGCAGAATTTAGAAACAGAGAAAAAAATACTGTAAGGAGAACCTGGGTCGCGAAGAACCTTTTACTTTGCCAGCAATCAAGAGAAATGCCTGTACAGACTTAGCAGTCCTTGTACAAACACACTCTCCATCACTGTCTAACAAGTGTGGGCTGTATAGACTGAGATGTCAGCCTAGGTCTGAGGTTTTGAGTGAACCATTGCTTGTCTAGTTTACCCTCACTGCTAAGGTAGGATCGAGTTTACTTCATTAAATAGCAACATATCCCATTTGTTTTTAAAAGCAGAAAGTAAGAAAAATCTGTAATATTTCTACAAAGCCTGTCTTCGTAATACAGCAGCACTGCATTTTGACATCTTTCTTTAATATCCAACCTACATTTTCTGCAAATTAGGTTGACAACTTCTTGTTTTTTCGATATTGGCAGTAGAGCAAACATGATTATCATCCTCTTTCTGCTGGCATTTTACATGGCATACTGCTTTTGGTATTCACACTCAGCTGTCTCTTTTCCAAGACTAAAGGACTGCAGAAGCTTTAATCTTTCTTTACAGGCATAATTTCTAATCTTTTAGCATTCTTTCTTACTTTTTTTGTATCCTTTCCAGCTTTCTGTTATCATTCATAGCATTTGTTCTGTAAAGTTTGTTACTCCAGCCAAGGCCTTACCAATATTAAATATATAATAGAACAAGTACTTTCAGAATGAAAGTTATCCTTCTCAAAAATGCATCATACTACCACGGTTATTTTCTGATCCAGTATAATCCCCTGAATGTACTATGCCAAGCTAATTATTTCACTTTTTTTTATTCCCTTTTGTACATCCTCCATCAGTATTTGTTAGTAACACATTGATAGTTTTTCCACTGCTTGCCTTTACTGGATTTTGTGTGACTTCAAACAACCTCTTCAGCATGTTGGAGAATTTTGATAATATTCTCCAGATTTCTTGTACTCTCACAGATTTTATAGCCCTCTTCCTCTTTTGTGGTGCAGGTCATTAAGGAAAATGCTAATGCATCAAAAAAAGGCCTTTACGGGATGTCACGTGCAGTGAACTCAGAGGTCAGTGACAAATAATTAAAAAAATATTCTTTGACTATCAATTTCAAACATACACCTACTTATTTTCTAATAAGGCTATTACATAGAATTTATTAGAGGTATAAATTTATTATATATACTTCTTTTCTCTTTATCAGCTATAGTAGTTAATTTGGTCCAAGGAAGAAAACGGACCTCTCTACAGGATATTTTCTTACAACTCCTGTTTGTTATATATTAAAAATATATATTCAAGTTATCTGTACACTCATTCCATCTGAGTGTTTTCCAAAAAAACTTTCCCACATAGTTTTTTGGATTGCTTAGATTCTCCTCCCAACCCACTACATGATTTTTGAAAGAAAAATGCTACAGGTTGCCTTCTCTCAAATCCCCCTTCCATATGTTCATTTTGGCTAGTTTCTTTAATACTTTAGGGTAAAAGCTATAAAACCAGTTTACATTTGCACAGAAACATGGACTCAATGTAATTTATAAAGGAAGAGGCATCCAAAAGTCATCTTGTCCAAATGTCTACTGAAAAGAGATCCAAATAGTTCAGGCCTTTCTTACGGTCTTGTCCAGTCAAGGTTTGATTATCTGCAAAGGCAGCATGTTCTGGTATGGATCACTCTCAAACTGACAATGTTTTTCTAAAATCAAATGACATTTTCCATGTTGGAGTATGCATAGAATACTTCTTATCCTTTCATTATGCACTTGATAAAAATCTGGCTTACCCATTTCTGCATTCCCATGAGCTAACTATAGATAGCAATAAAGTCTTCTGTCTTTGACTCTCCTCCAGGCTAAACAGGACCAGCTTTTTCAGATTCTCCTCCTGTGCTACGTGTGCTTCAGTGGCCATCACTGAATTCACCAAATATGTCAAAGTCTTTCTTGTAGTGAGGAGCCCCAGTCTGGGCACAGTACTGGTGCCACAGCACTGAGTGAAGATGAATAATCAAATAATCCCTTAATCACTTTCCTCAAGCTGCTGGCTGCATTTTTTTTCTTTTTTTTCCCCCTAAGACAGATCTGCATGTGATTAACTTTTTTAGCCTTAAGGTCATACTGCTCTCTCTATTTTTGCTTTGATCCTGTTCTCCCCTTTGATAAGATTTAGTTACCTGGATAAAAATGATCTTTTCATATTTTTCCTCACAGTATTTCATCAATAACATTCACTAAAGTGGAGCTGCTTGTGCCTTATTAACATTATTTAGAAGTAAGGTGTAATAAACTGCTCTATCTACTATTGATCACTACAGTCCCACTCTCAAATTCCATTTCTAATTCAAAATTCCTTAAGTAATAAACTTTCGTGCCCTGAAGACAAGCATGTTCATAACTCAGAAGAGAAGAAAGAGAATGTTACTTGGCTCTGAAGACATAATTCAAGTATTCTTCATACCTATTCAAGTTCTAAGCACCAAGGTGTGGGGAATGCTGAGAACTCTGACTGATGAGTTCCAAGATTTTAAGATTTTGCTTTCCTTTTTTTCTCCCAAATGGCTGACTGCATTAGTTATTGACTTCTAATTTTAAAAGTACATAATTAATTGTTTTATTCATCCATTTCCTAATTAGCTTGCCAATTGATCTTGACACATTCTGAAATGTCAGCTGTATTATGTATCTTATCACAGTCTTTATCCTTGATTTACATTTAAGAAGGAGCTATTATGTATCTTTTCTGAGTACCTCTTATCTTCAGTGGGCCTATTTAATTTTTCCTTTTTTTCTTTAATTTTTTTTTTTTTTTCAGTTCTGCAAATGTAACTTTTCCCTCTTTATTGTTCTACCGGGTAATATTTGCTAAAATATTGTCCATTACCATTTTTTTCTCATGCACCATTTTAAACTACTATCATGCCCTGATTAGTACCTCTCTAGGTCTAATAAAATTAGTGTATAAGACTGACTCTCACTGAACAAGAGTAATCCTTTCTTACTCAGTCTCATGTGCTTCTTGATAGGATCTTTCAAACAATCTCCTCATTGTTTTTCAGTTTTTTCTGTTTTTCAGTTTTCCAGGTCTGTTAACACTGAAAATATTTTAATACTCAAGTACTGTCACTGAAACCAAACTACACTCATCATTTCAGAAGAACTTCTCTGGTACACTCTTGTTAAACATGATAAAAAAATTAGTGGGATTGCTCTAGAAGTGTTGCCTTTTTTTTTGTTTTTTCCAAATAAATAAGGATCACAGAATCATAGAATGGTTTGAGATGGAAGTGATCTTCAAGTACATAGTTCAACCTGCCTGTCATGGGCAGGGACACCTCTCACTAGATCAGGATGCCGTTAATTACTACAACCTGGCCTTGAACAGTTCCAGGGAGGATGACAGAATCTTGCCTTGTTGATAACAAACACTTTAGTATGCAAATTATTACCACAGCAACACTTTCTTATCTGTTTTAAGGACAATTTGTGTTCAAGAAGTCCCAATTTTTTGGATATTTATCATGTGACAGGTTGTGCCTGGGATGTTGAAATCTGTTTTCTGCTGGGTGATATCATTTCTTACTCGCTTACCTGTCTTTAACTGTCCAGTGTATTTTTCTTTGTTCTATAGTTAGGTAACTTTTGAGACTCAGGTAATCTTTAACTTCCATTTCTGTGTAGCACACTAGGACATTGTGGAATACGACTTGATTTATCAGTGCTGTGCAGTGCAAGATGTAAGTAAGGATAACTGGTTTGCTCATTTCTTTCAAGAGTATGGACGATGTGCATATTGTAACCATATGTCACAGCAAATACATTTTGAAAATTCATCCAACAAGGGAACAAAAAAAGATTCATATTTTCAGATGAGGATATTAGATCTCAGGCTTTATATTTCTTATAAATATAAATCTTAATATTTCATATAAATTTTTGACCATTTCAATGTAATTATTTTCAACAAATAAAAGTTCTGCATGTGCTAAACTGATGTCTTTCAAAATTTGACATTACAGTATGTAATTCTTTATATTTTAATATAGAGGTAGCCGTGGAAAATCCTATAATAATGGAGTTGCTTTTCCTTAAAATGCAGTTCCTTTGCTGGATAAATGATCAATGTTTTTTTCTATCCCTGTAACAAGAACAAGAACAAGAACAAGAACAACAACAACAACAACAACAACAAATAGAGGCCTCATTTTCTTTCCTATTAAATTTCTAAGTGAATGAAGAGATTTCTGTTTTTATCAAGCAAAATATACTTCAGGTGCCTTTGTGGAAAATGCTTGAGTTCTTTTGTTGACTACAAGGTCTCAGGCAGTCCTTTTCATTCTGTATTTCTATTCAGATCCTGTAATGAGTTGCAACTGGCCAGATGTCACGTGTTGCCCATACATTTGATTTGCAGGATCAAAGCTGGATGAGAGACAGGTGGGAACAATTCGTCTATCTGATAGAAATTGCCAGTATTCCTCAATATTAGTCATATTCCTTTTGGGGTGGGTCTTTGAAAATTGCTGGGGAGGAATACCAAGCAGAGAAAAACAGATAAAATGACAGTGGCAGAAGCACTGGGGTATGAGAGCACATGTTCATATCATAGAATTCTATTAAATGAAAAGATGTACCAAAAAATAAAAAAAATCTAAAAGCCAATCCTCCCTCCCCTGTAATTTTTTACAATTTTCTGTGGAATGGTTTATTTAGTACAGAGACATGTAGATGTTTTATTCTATGTTAAATTATCTCCAGAGTAATAACTAGCACTTCCATAATGATTTTAAGTAGCTTACCTCATAAACATAAGAAATGAACAGGTAGAAACTACAAATGTTTTACATCAAAATGATATCTCAAGAGGTTTGTTTGCTATAATCAGACACAAATGTCTGTGCTGGTTTAAATCCACAGGTTTGAATTCTGTGGAGCAGCTGAATATAGACAGAGATTAATTTCCTTTTTCTGTGTTCTGTAACTGTGTTTGTATTTTTATGTCAAAACAGAGAATGGAAATTACAAGCAGTGAACGCTGAGTTTCTCCTTTCAGAAAAAGCAATATTTGTAACATATATAAACAATGAAATTTTTCTAAGCTACTTTTATCTAATTACCTGTTGAGACTGAGGTGCACAGCTAGCAAAGGTTATAAATTAATGATGATTACTGTTGCAAGCAGTTCTATGAGAAATCATTCATTGCTTTAAGAATAGAGTCATATCAACAGAGATAAAGCAAAAAGATTTGAATAGATTAGGAACACAAAAATATAGTTGAAATCATAAGAAAAATCAAGATAACCATAAGAGACCAATTGATTATTAATAAATTAAGTGCAATGTCATGCACCTGTGCTGAGGCAACCAACACTACCAATACAAACTGGGTGGATGAAAGGACTAGAGAGAAGCTCAGCTGAAAAAGACCTGGGGGCACTGGTGGGTGGGAAGCTGGACATGAGCCAGCCATGTGTCCTCACAGCCCAGAAAGCCAACTGCATCAGAAGAAGCATGGCCAGCAGGTGAGGGAGGTGATCCTGCCCTTCTGCTCTGTACTGTGATGTGTTACGTAATGTGTCCAGTGTGGTGTCCTCAGTACAGGAAAAATGAGAACCTATTGGAGTGCATCCATAGGAGGACCACAAAAAAGACCCTTGGATTGGAACACCTCTGCTATGAGGATAGGCTGAGAGAGCCGGGGCTGTTCAGCCTGGAGAATAGAAGGCTGTGAGGTAACTCGATAGTGACCATTCAGTATCTAATGGAGAACTGTGGGAAAGAAGGGAACGGATAAAATAAGGGGAAATGGCATCAGGCACAGGGGGGTAGACTTAGGTTTGATAAAAGGAAAAAATCTTTTACAATGAAGTTGGTGAGGCACTGGAACCGGTTACCTAGTGCTATGGTTGGTGCCCGTCCCTGGAGACTTTTAAGATGAGGCTGGATAAGGCCCTGGGCAACTTGATCAAGCTGTGGTGTCCCTGTTCATTGCAGGGGAGTTGGACTAAATGGCTCTCAAAGGTTCCCTCTAACTCTAAGGATTTTATAGTCCTATGATTCTAAATTAACCACAGTAAAAATAAATAAATAAATAAAAATCAACCAGATAAGATCCAAAAAACTTCCCTGACACCAATCTTGCAGCAATATATTACTATATATTACAGCTTGACTAATAATTCTTAATATTACAACAGAATCTAGAAACTTCAGAAAAGTTACTAGTGATGACGTTCTCTCCAGCTAATATTTATTATCTAGCCAAAGCTAGGAATAGGCATGGACATTCCCTCCAACTCATAAACCAATGGATAGACACATCAGTCTCTGGAGTTTAGGTCTCTCTACCTCTCTTCAAATCCAATTTCAGGATGATCTGCAAATGATGAGTTTAGGATTAATGTTTATATTTTAGACAAATTAAATTAAGAAAGAAAAATCTCACTCTGTTAGAATATGTGATCAGAGTGACAATCTAATCCTTAAGTGTTTGTAATCTAAATGAACAAGATGAAGAACTAATGAAAGAAGGAAATGTTATACTCCCTGTATACAAATTAGCAGCTGATTGAAAGCCACAGTTCTGCCCTGATGTGGCAGCTATTGTTATGTACTGTGCAACTACAGTCAAGCTGCTGACACTAGGATTGTGAAGGCATCTTAAGCTCACATTTCTCTATCACAAAACATGGTTAGGAACACACTTGAACAGCGCTCTGCTGTCATATAAGGATTATTACTAATATGCATGTGTATTTAGTGAGTGAAAGAGAATGTCGAGAGCTAAACAGAGTAGTTAAGCAGTTGATTTCCAATATTTATTTTGCCATTTCATATTAAAGACATTCAAAAGGGCTGTTTGGAGAGGGAAGCATACCCTCATTTACTATTGTTAGTCACAACCTTAAGGAGGGAATTATCAAAAAAGATAGCTGTAGACAATGTCATTATCTACACGTGAGAATGAGGACATAATAACACCTCAGATACGAGAGGACGTTGTTAAGATGTGTATAATGCATCTTAGGTTGGAGATCTTTGCTATGTTACATTCTACCCGACTCCTTATTTAACAACTACTTTCAAGGGCTGAGAGAGAAAATAACTCTAGGGCCTTGTGTTATCAGTACTCCTGCCATCTGATTTAGAGCTACCCTGGCTTATGTCAGTGTGTCACTACTGTTCCTGCACAGTGGAAGGCCCTAAGTAGGTGCAACTGATGCTGTGTTACAATGTGCTCCTCTGGCTGGTAGTATAAATCAGCATAGTTCCACTGATTTAAAGACTTCTATAGCATTTGGTATGGTATTAAGTGAAATTAAACTACCAAGCCTAACGGCTAAACCCATTACATCTTAGCACAGGCCACACTAGAGCTGAGAGCTTATAATGAGTAAGTACATGAGGATTTTTTCCAGGATGGAGGCAAAAAGAGGCTACTCACAGTGTGACCAGGCAGTGATTTCTTTCTGCAGAAGCTGAATGATGCAGTATGTTAGAAGAAACATGCAGCTGTTCAATTTCTGATGATTTTATATAATTTTAGAATGGGATGATTAAAGTATTATGCTTAGGACCATCATTACTATACTTCCTGTGGATTCTTACATTAAGGATAATTTTTTCCTTTCTGATAGAGAGGTTCACATTGTTAGAAACACGGGTGTGGGTTGGTTGCTTTTTTTTGTTTTTATTTTTTGTATGTCTTACAGCACAGTCTCAGAACTTAGAGACTGTTAGTAAATCAGTATTTCTTACTGTCTGTTTATTGTTCAAATGTTTTTCAGGTCAGGTTAATGTTGCATATTTACAAGATCTTGGAATGTTTAATAGGGTATTGACATTTATGCAACTGTAAGCCTTCAAAACTGTTTCTTTAGGTAGGAATAGATAGATAAGGAATAAATGATATATATTTTTAAGTCCTCTTTGGGAAGGCAAAGCATATTGTAGTAACAGACATTTTGACCTTTTTTACTGCCATTCTGTGATTCTTTCTTCTCTCTCTCCACTTATCTCTGCTTCTTAATGTCCCTGTCCTGCCACCAAAGAGTACAGTCCCTAAGGGGAGTTCCTGCCTCGGGTCACCAGTGAGACATAAGTGCCTATGACCAGAACCCAACAGTTTGTGATCTGTTCTACAAGGGTTAAAAATGCAGATTCCTTTGGCTTAAGCACTGCAATTTATAGAATCGTGAAATCTTCTGAGATAGAAGGAATCCTTAAAGGTCATCTAGTTCATCACCTCTGCAATGAACAGACGTATCTGCAGCTAGGTCATATTGCTCAGAGCCTCATCCAGCCTGATCATGAATGTCTTAAAGAAAAAGGCATCCACCACCTATCTGGGCAACTTGTGCCTGCACTTCACCACCCTTACTGTAAAAGAACTTCTTCCTTATATCCAATCTAAATCACCCGTCCTTTATTTTGAAACCATTTTCCCTTGTCCTGTCACAGTAGACCCTGATAAAGAATCTGTCCCCTTCTTTCCTGTAGCTCCCCGTTAGATATTGAAAGGCCGCTATTAGTTCTCCCTTCTCCAGGCTGCGCAGCCCCCGGCTCTTCCAGCCTGTCCTCACAGGGAAAACGTTCCATCTCTTCATCACTTTTGTGGCCTTCCTCTGGATGCACTCCAAAAGGTCCTCATCTTTCCTGTACTGAGGACTCCGCACCTGGACACATTACTCCACATGACATCTCACCAGAACAGAATAGAGGGACAGGATCGCCTCCCTCAGTCTGCTGGCCTAAAGTTCTGCTCAGCCTAAATTTCACTCTTCTGAAGTTCGGGGTCCTGACCTCACTCTTTGCCATGCCCACATTCCTAGAGATCACAAAATCAACACATAGATGTTGCAGCCTAGGCTGCCTCCAACCTTAACGCTTTTAATGACCTCCGCTGCAATGATGAGCAGCAGGTCCAGCAATGCTTCACCCCTGGTCGGTCTATCCAATATTTATGCCATTAATTGTATTATACCTAATGCAGTGGAGTCAGTGCACTTTTTTTTTTTTTTTTTTTTTTTTTTTTTTTTAATCCTTGAACCTTACTGCCAGAAATAAGGAAGGTTTACTTGGCAAAAAGTAACTCTCTAATGGCTTTGTTCTCCAGGATGTTTTTCAGTGTGTATTTTGGCCATATCTTTTATCAAGGAATCTGGTAATGTGGATCTTCCTCTGTCTCAGTGTCTCAGATCCTCTGTAGGACTAAAAATTGTTATCCAGCTCTTTTTACAGATGGACAAGTACTTCTGGACTATGCACAGCACACTGACATTGTTTTTGACACATTCATCTTCAAGATCTTTTTTCTTCTTATATTCCTTAAATATTTTTAATGCTACAATATTATTTAAATTTTACTTTTATTGTTATCTAGGTGGGTGCTCTGAAAGCAGTGCCTCCTGTTTTATTCTGCTGGCCTGTGATGTCAGCAGTGGATGTTGGTGGTATGACAGTAGAGTTTGAACCTTCCCATCAATATTCCATTACATTTTGTTTCCATGTGACAAATGGTAAGAGAGGGGCAGTCTGACAAAATGGTATTTGAAATGGAAATATGTATGAATCAAAGGTGTTATGAGAATCCTTTTTGGTATTTTTTTTGCTCAAAGCTTGCTTCCTGAAGTATTTCTTGTGATAAGATTCTGATTTATTGAGGAGGCAAGAGATGGGTGTTACCCGTGTGACAATCAAAATCTCTTTGGGGACATTTGAAAGCATCTTCCTCCAGAGCTACTTGCCTCTGGAAGAGAGTGCTCAGGAGTGTTTACTGGCGGAAGATCTGGCCTGTGACCAAATAACTCCAGCTTGGTATGGGAGAACTGGGGAATGATACGATTGTGTCCTGTGAAAAACAGGATGCAGGTGGGCATCCCTGCTCCCTGTTATCAGCTAGCAAGGCCCGAAAGATGGGAACAAAGGAGTTTCTGCTGAGATCCCAGACCTAGAAGCTGCCACTCCAAGGAGAGCTGACTCAACCACTTTGGATTTGAGCTGTCACTCCAAAGAGAGCTGACTCAGCCACTTCAGACTTATAAATAAGTTGGTACTATCATTGAAAAGTTGCCATCATCGCCGTGGTCATCATAAACAGAACAACCCCTGACGACCCAACACTACTGAAGATCAATGATGGAACTACGAACCACGCTGGATCCATGGTGGTACTATTTCCCTCTTGCTTCCTACAAAGACTCCTTGCTTCTTTCCTATCTTTTCTATCGCTCTTCTTCCCTTCCCCATTACCGTAATTCATAATAGTGTCCATCCTCCCCTTCCCCATCTTCCTGATTAAGGTTTGTAATAAGCTGGTTGGACCAACATTTGAACTGTTGATTATATATGTAACAAAGAACCTCCTCTCCCTCCCATAAATTGGAGCAAGACAGGTGTGTCATTGAATTCTCCCATGCGGAAAAAAATTCCATTTGCTGACATTCATTTGTGCTTACTGAGCATTTCTGGAGACCAAATAGTGGTTGTGAGTGCAGTGAGGAGGTGGATGGTACGTTTCAGCTGTGGTGACAGTGACTGGAAAGAAAAGCCACATTCTGGATGGCCATGAAGGTTTATTTGAGCATAGTATACAGGCTCTTATTCATCACTGGTAAAAATGCATAGATAATGGTGGTGACTAAATTGAAAAGTGGTGTTCTGTAGGTGAGAATTTATCAAATACTGTTGTTGTACTCTTGGTAGCTATTGTCATTTCGATGGAAATAAATAGGAGGAATTATTTTCAGAGCAGCCTAAGTAGTTGTAAAGAATCAGTAGTAAAATAACAACCCCAACATGAGTAGAAAGTCTACCGTTGGATTCAGGAGAGAGCGTTCAATGCTATTACTGCTATAGAAAGCTTGTTTTTCAAGAACAAGGCTGGAAGATTATGTTTGTGGAATGAACATGGAATAGAAAATAATTAGGAGATCTTTAGGCTTTACACTAAAATAACTTCAGCATACTACATTTAGGCCAAGTAGTCAGATGCTGATTTCTGTGAGCATCATCTCTATACAGATCCAGATTCCTTTAGAGAAAATGTTTTCTCTTGACTCTTATTAATATGGCAAATATTTTCCTTGAGGAAAGTATCACAGCAGAATGATATGAAAACCTAAATTCTATTCAGAGTTAAAACCATCAAATACTGAAAAAGCACATTTCTAAACAGTGTGTATAAAGTCTGCGTTAAATCAGTGAACAAGATCTAATAAATGCACCAATCTCATTAAACTGACTGAATTTATATTAATTTAAAGTAATGATCTTAATAATGATATGTTCATGTGTAGATTGAATATTTAGTCCAAACCTAAAATAAATATGATTTACACCCCTCTTAAAAGTTCATTCTGTTCACCAGAGGACTGCAGGCTACTCAGCTGTAGTGGATAATTGTATTCCAGGGGTTCTCAGATCCCAGAAAGATAAACATGTATTTTAATCAATTATAGACCAGTATACAAAGTAAACACTAATATCAAAAAGACAAACACCAGTAGAAATGCAAATATTTTCCTTTGGTTATCAGAGATGATTTTGTTTAAGAAACAATTCATGTTAAAACATAAAGCTGCTAGTTAATGAAGAGCTTTTTTTTTTTTTTTTATAGTTCATCCTACTATTAGAAAGTAATTTCTAACTTTTTGTGGATTTATAATAAATTTTATAATATTAAAACTTGCATACAGTATGCAAGAGGAATAATTTGAGAACTAGAGGCAAGAAACAATTTTCTTTTTATTAAAAGAGCAACAATGAATTTTTTGAAGAATAATAAGCATTTCTGAAACAAAAATAGTTTTCATAGCAATTTAAGTAATATTTTGCAAGAGGTACATTTTGCTCTGTAGTCAGGCAAAATTATATTCACTTTCTTTTTCTCACTTTTACTCTTCAACGTGTATTTTTCCATTATATACAAACATAAATATATTAGTTTAATGATTCATAGAATCAAATAATTGTTTGAGTTGGAAGAGACCCTTAAAGGTCATCTAGTCCAACTCCTGAAATGAACAGGGACATCTACAACTAGATCACATTGCTCAGAGCCTGATCCAGCCTGATCTTGCATGACTCCAAGGATAGGGCATACACCACCTGTAGGCAATCTGTTCCAGTGCCTTACCACCCTTGTTGTAAATAACTTATCCCTTATATCCAACCTAAATTTCCTCTCTTTTAGTTTGAAACTATTTCTGCTTGTCTTGTCACAGTAACTCCTGAATGCTCTGGCAGGAATTCTCCATAGACCACACTCTCTCTTGGGATTCAGTCGCTCTCATGTCTGCTTCACTAATAAAATAACTCCTATCACTTTGTACATCTGAGGAGGTGAGAGAGAAAATTGGAAAAGCAGATTAATTAAATTCAAACAGAGTAAGAGACATTGATTATTTCAGTCAGCCATCTACTCATCTCTGCATCTTTGTCAAAGCTTAGAATACTATGGGATATTTATTGAGAATTAGATAAAGAATTTAATATTGTCATTTAATGGCTTTCTTAAATCCAGATTTTTGTAGCTATGAATAATATACATTTTACCACCACTGTGAGTTACTTATAATCATAATATTTATTAAACTGACATTTCTACTGCAAGTTTTTTTTTAGCAAATTTTGACATTAATTGCATACAACATACCAGTGTAATTACATCATATGGGCCTTTATGAACCTTTTAGAGTGCATTACCTTTTTCTTTTTTTGTTCATTTCCTCCTCCTCTCTGTGGTTAGTCATGCCCCCTATATATAATCTTTCTCCTCTCAAGTCCTGTTTTTGTCACATCGCACATCAAATCCGTGGATTTGAAATTTGGTCCCTCTTATTTTCAGCCTCTTCACTATGGCCAGAATTTAACCCATCACTTCTATTACAAAAAGAGTTAAAAAGCACAGAAATTTAAAGCTTTAAAAGGCTAAGTTGAAATGTTATCTATAAACAAACAAACAAAACAACAACAATAACAACAAAAATAACACCACCACCAACAACAAAAAAACTAAACTAAAAAAGCCTGAAACAAAGCAAATATATAATATTTTAAGTTTTTTTATGTCTTTCATCTTGGTTTGGGCAAATGTGTAAAATATATGAGGGAGAAAATTTTTAAATAACAAAATATTGACATATCTTTGTTTCCCATTTTTATACTTTGATTCTCCCTAGGAAGTTCTATCTCCACAGATCACTGCCTTCAACTATTGTTCGCTGCTCAAAGGACTCTGCCTCACTGGGATATGTAAGAAAATGATAAATTAAAGTTTGTAGTGTCAGTTTGTTTCCTGAATAAAAGCCTATTGAACAAAGGGTAGTGCTACAAAGTGGATGAAAGCTAGAATTCTGAGTATGTGTGTGGATTGTGTAAGGTAAATGAAGCATAATACTGAATTTCAATATCACAGAGGTAGGTCAGTGACCTACCATCATAAAGTGTATAGCAGAGAAAATGGATATTTTAAAATTAAATAATTTAATTAGTGAAGCAGTAACCTGTATAAACATGGGGTGCAAGAAGACTGTGTTTGCAAGTGTTTTTCATTACAAAGACAACTTGCTAGCCAATTTTTGTTTTGCTATTTAATTTTCATTTATTTTTTATTATTTTATTTTGGATTGTTTTAATTTGTTTTACATTATTTTATTTTACATGTGAATATAGTATATATTCACATGTATATATTCACATGTGTATATTCACCTGGAAGCAGGTGTACAGTTATGAATTAAATACAATTAAATATGTAAAATTAGAAGGAAACCTTACTATAAAACTCTGAATACAAACATATAGTCTGACTCATGCTTAGCCTCCCTTCAAACCAACATTCACTTTTTCATTGGAATGCAAATACAAACATACTTCTGGCAAATATGCTGTATATAGATAAGATCTGACTCATTTTGATCCAGTTCCTAACACTTCTATCAGCCGATCCAAAACTCACTCAAATAAGTAGAAAGACTTAGAATCATTGAATCATAGAATCACCAAGGTTGACAAAGACCTCTAAGTTCATCCAATCCAACCGTCCACACATCACCAATATTTCCCACTAAACCATATCCCTCAGCACAACATCTAAACATTTCTTGAACACCTCCAGGGACAGTGACTTCACCAACTCCCTGTGCAGTCTGTTCCAGCTCCTGACCACTCTTGGAGAAGAAGTATTTCCTAATGTCCAACCTGAATCTCCCCCACTATAACAGGAGACCATTCCCTCTAGTCCTATTGCTAGTTACATGGGAGAAGAGGCCAACTCCCACCTCACCACAGCCTCCCTTCAGGCAGTTATAGAGCATGTTAAGGTCACCCCGAGCTTTCTCTTCTTCAAACTGAACAATCTCAGCTTGCTTAGACACTTCTCATAAGGCTCGTGCTTCAGACCCCTCACGAACTTTGTTGCCCTTCTCTGACTTAACTTCAAGAGGCAACTGATGACTTCTGCCTTTCAAGAAAGTAATTCTTTCTGGTGACAATAGCAGCCCATTGATTATGGTTGTTTCTTGTGTGTCTAAAAAGGAGTTTGTACTGCTCAGTGTCCTAGCTTGCAATGTGTGTGATCAAGCTAGAGAAGGGATGAGATCATAGAATAGAATCATATGGTCATAGAACCATTAAGATTGAAAAAGACCACCAAGACAATCCTGCTACTGACCCATCACCATCACCTTCCTGTACTTTCACTAGCTGGAATGGATAGAGGTAAAGTACCATTGGTGATGGATTTTAGTCCAGCTACAAGGGCAGTTTACCCTTTCTGAGCTTTTTGAAGGCCCTGGGACAATGCCTCTGTTCAAATGTCTGAAGTTTGCTGCATCTATTTGGGTACCACATAGACCCTATACCTTCTGTGTGTTTTGCTGAACACTGTACAGTTTGGGCAGCCAACCTTGCCATTATCCTTTAATCCACCTGAACTGTCTTGTTGCAGCTGCTGTTCAAGACAAGAAACTGCATCAGTCAGAGCTCCTATGAATTGCATTTCCTGAAGTTCTACATGGAATGCTTAATCCCTTGCATCAGCTTAAATCTTGACTCTTCTACCTCTTCTCACACACCAAATTGTAAATGGGTTTGGGAATGGGGGGGCTGCAGCTTCCTTCAGACTGTATATAATTGTTCCTGTGTGGGGTCCTCTAATGTGTTTATCTGCTCCCACATCATCCTCCATGGACTGCAGTGGCACAGCCTTCATCACCAAGGTCTTCTCCACAGTCTGCAACGGAATCTCCAGTGTTGTTGATAAGCTCAGGTTTGGTCTGACAGTGATAGGCATAATTTGAAGGCTTAAACTGCCTTTGTCTGACATAGACATTGTTACGAATTTCTTCTTCAGGTTCCCTGGTTACCAAAATCTTGCCACATAAACCCAATGCATTAGTCCCAAAAAAAGAGACTGAGTCACGCAAAACTGTGCAGAATGCCCACTCACATTGGTCTTGAGAGAATTTAAGCACTGATTCATCTTTATGGATGATATAATTGATAGGAACATTCCATATCTCCCTGAAATCAGAAAATAGTTCCGCACCTTAAGACCTTAATTCTAATTAGTGTTTCATGGAAATTGCATCCTCCTTGTGACATCTGGGTGCTAAGAGCAGGAAGTTAGTCTTTCTTGAAGGCTTTCCATCCTGAAATGTCATCAGTTTGAAGTCTGGATTATTTTTGGTGAGGTACAATCGGTTAGTGCAAAATTTTCTGTAGGCATTGTATAAAAAATTCAGAAAATGACACATAAAGGGTAATTCTGTAAAAACATAAAATATTACAGGCAATGAAATCACTTAAATGAAATATTTCATTACTGTCCAGTATTTTTCCATTAGGAATTTCTTCCCCATACCTCAAAAATCTTTCCAATTTTGAGTCTTCTGAGAGTAATTTTAGGCTCTTTGCTTCACTTCAAACTTCATCTTCAGAGGTATTCTCTACAGGGGGCTTCATATAGAACTGATTCAGGCTCCTATCTATACAAGCAATCACTTGAGAGAATAGCTTAACCATTATAAAAAATGTAGAGGAAACAAAAAGATACAGCTAAAGCAAGGCTCTATCTAGTTGATCCCTAAGGGTTAATGAATGTTCAAAACTGGTGAAAGGAGATAAAAGAAAAGCCCTGGTTTCCCCAGTTCTTTAAATAGGACACTTCTGTCTCTGATATAGTGAAATTATTAACTTGTTAGAGTTTCAGCACTAATTTTCTAGTTGTACTAATGCTGCTTTAGTAATATGGCTTGAATCTTTATTTGGTAGAAAAATGCCAATTATTTTCTAATGAAGATAAACAATCAAATTTTTAGGATATCTTTCCTGTTCTTCTCGCCCTTAACATTGTTAAATAAAAATGCAAGCCTTACTTTTTAAGATAATCTTGGGTTTTAAAAAATAATTGATGTGTATCTATTTATTATACTTTTTAGTTAAAAAAAAGTGTATCAGCAAGAAAATTTTCACTTAGCTCGTCTTAAGTTTAAATTTTCTCTCACACTATTTCACGCTGTGTACAATAAAGAAAGTGAAAGACAAGACTATACAGGCTGTTTGACCTACGTATCTTTGGAAAATGGGAAACAACATCCTCATCCTTTTCTCCTATCCTTTTCCTGCCATAAAGTGATATAAGCCTTTACTCAAGGAGAGCTATTAGGATGACCCTCTTAGAAACTACAGAAAAGTAGCCTGAATCTTACCCACTGATATCTCAATTCTTATTTAAAGTCTGAAAAAGCAGAGCTGTAATAGACAGAGCATGTAAAAGGTGAGAGTTGGGCCATGATGTCCATACACAAGCATCACATAAAATTTCACAGAGCAAGTTAATTGAATATTGGGTCCAACATGGTCAGAAACAATCCCAGCTGTGTTTAATTACTACTGAAGTTGTAGCTTCAGTGTATCTGGAACAGCTCTTTTGCACTGGCGCCAAGTAATGTGGAGCAGCTGCATACATGGTATTAAATTCACTAATACTAATTTCTACAGCATGCCCACTGAGAACAGTCCCTGGTTCATGCTGATGCCCAAACATTGCCTGAGATCTCACTTTGCAAGACTGCTAGTTGACTGGGGTCAAACTATTCCATCAGTTTAAGAGCACTGAAGGTCATGTTCCAGTGCCTGGAAATAATCCCTGGCAAGGCTTAATATAAAAGAATAGTCAAATCATATTGGTTTTTGGTTTGCTTTTTGTTTTTGTTTCTTTTCTTTTTTTTTTTTTAATCTGTCTTTTTAACAAACATTATTAGGTTAAGTATTTACTTTTCTATTTCTATCACAAAGCAAAATGCTGTTAACAAGATTCTTG